TTTTTTCGAAATTATTGGTAGCAAAATTTTATGAAAATAAAAAACTTTCGACTTGTACGTAATATAAATAAATATATAATAATATATTAATATTGTTTGTTCACGCTCACACGGCGTTGCCATTATCAACGAATAAATATAAATCTTCCATATGACCGTATCGGGCTGGTTGTATATTTACTTAAAGTAGGTTTTTGACATTTGGTTAAAAATAAAGTTTATGAATTAAAACAATGTTAAATTATTAATATAGTATTACAAATACCTAAAATATAGGTACCTTTGGAAATTAAGATAAATGATTTAACAGTACATTTTTGTTACCTTGCTATGATGAATTTAATAAAAACAATTCGACATGTTTTTCATTATTTGTGGACGATAGGTATTAGAATTTTATTTTTATAATAATATTATTTAGTTTATATAAATGTAATATAGTTTTTTGTCAACTGTCAAAGCATTGGCCGGCATCGATAGCTGTTATTACCGATCAATAACAATATATTATTAGACGCTATAATAATATTTTTATATAGAATTATAATAAAAATTAATAGTTATTTTACACATTTTTAAAATATTTAAGAAATTTCGGGAGAGGGGTCAAATACGGCCTACGTTTATCATTTTGAACTATATGGACACATTTTTCTAATAAAATTGCTTCTAACAATAATATTAATTGTGCTTAAAATATTATTATGTACATCTAAAATTTATCGATATAATACCAAAAATAGTTGTGCAAAAATGTATATAATATTTAAGAACAGTAAAATAAATTATAACATCTATATTTTATATTGGATAGGTACAATATAACTACAAAAGGCACTAAATCTTTCAAATTTTGTTTCAATTGATAAAAATATTGCACAGATCATTATTACATATATATTACATAGTTGTTATTACATATTAATATGGTTGGGGTTGGTTGTTATTACATATGGCGTTGGCTATTCGCTCGATTAGTTGGTATTACCTAATAATATATACAACATCATGAGCGAACACGTAAATTGGACGTCGGTGTAATATATTTCATTAACAAGATTTTATGATTTCAAAAATACCGTAATCTTTCATTTATTTACTAGCGGTAAAATGTTTTGAACATGAAATGATTAGATATACGTGAACTGAACGAAGTAATACCA